GAAATGACTTAGGTCATTCAATATATTCATTTTGTGCAAAATAAAAAAAAACCCATCTACTTGAGTTTAATGAAGAGTTAAATTCCTTACAAATGTATTAATTCATAAAAACAATTAAGATAAAATTACAAATGAAGAGAACTCAGGATTAACTTCTAGTATCATGCAAGTAATAAATACCTTTTATTGTGTCTGGGAAGGTTTGGAAGAAAATACATTGGGACAGGGGGTCGCCAAGCTTTTGGACCTCAGGGACCACCAAACTCATAACTTTAAATCCCCCGGACCAGAGATCCTGGGAAAATCCCCCAAAAAGTCTGTAGGAAAATTCAGGGGTGGGATTCAAATTTTTTAACAGCTGGGTCTGTGGGTGTGGCTTAGTTGGTGGGTGTGGCTTGGTGATCATGTGACTGGGTGGGCGTGGCCAACTCAACATCACTCACGTCAAGGAGCACTTCTCCTCGTCTGGCCTCTCATGACAGTGGGGATGCTGCAATGGTCGTAAGTGCAAAAAATGTTCATAAGTTACTTTTTTCAGTGCCATTGTAACTTTGAATGGTCACTAAATGAACTGTTATAAGTCAAGGATTACCTGTGCAAAAATACAAAAAGCTTCTTTGCTTGCAAAAAGCTGCCCTAAATACCAATCATTAGATTAAAAATACCTGCAAACCAGAGTTACAAATCAGGCAGAGTGCCAGAGCACCTTGAGGAATTAAAATAGTTAAAATGCAATTATAACTATCAGCAGCCAACTCTTGCTCATAAAGTGAAAGCCTTTAACAGAGAGGTCATTTAAGCTCTCCAGAAAGAGCACACCCAGGAGAAACAATCCTTTTGCACCATTTAAAGATACCAACTGGTCTCACTCATCCCATAAGATATCCTAAGGATCATCCAGGTTTAAGGAAAGGTCACATGCCACCCAAAAGGCAGTAAAACGTCAGTGCCAAACTTGCATCCCACCTCTTGGAAACATACCCCAAAAGGACAGTGCCAGATACCACTAAAGTAGTGAAGGAAGACCCCGTCCCCAGATAGAAAAAGAAACCATGAATCAGGAAAAAATTCAAACACAATACAAATAATTAAATCACAACAGTAGCTGTTGCTACTTGTTAAACCAATTACCAGAACAAATAGACACAGGAACTAGCCAGATTTCTCAAACCAGTTTCTTTTCAGGAATAGAGATTAATCTTTTTCTTTCCAAACAAAGCTGAATAGGGAAAATTATCCCATCATTAAACACAGGATTAAACATCACCAAGCACAGAATTAAACTTCACCAAAAAACATGTACTGATGTTTTGGCAGAATCTCATCTGCCATCATCAGGCTTCTGTATTGTGTTCATCTGACGATACAGACGAACACAATACAGAAGCCTGATGATGGCAGATGAGATTCTTCCGAAATGTTGCTACAACTTTAAAAGCACAACTATAATGACGTGGGAAAATACCCGAACAAAGCTGAATACCATACATGTAAGTACCCGTGAAAACTTAAGAAAACACACACACACACACACACACATATACTGTATCTAATTCATTAATCAGTTATCAAGGTTCTCTAGTACAGTTGACTGCCATTCTTAACTTGGCCCTGAAAAATGTAAATAAACTATTCAACAGCATGCTAGTTATTCACTTTACTGTTATGCTAAGCCCATTTCCTTACATCCCATATTGCATGCACATCATGAAGAACACACATTGTTAATTATGTATGCTCTCATTTTGAATAGTGTTACTGGGCATTCAGGAATGTTTACAGAGAAAAATGAAGTCTGAAGCCAGTTTTCAGTTTCAGCCTTGCATCACATATGGAGCTCAATCAATGGGCACATTCTTTTGAAGTACAAAACAGTGGCTTAGCTGGTTAGAAAACTTCCACTTTTACAGCTCTGTTATTAAGCTTCCCAACTACTAAACATTTATTTTCAAAGGTCTGCCTTGGTCTTGTATCTAGCGTAACCAATATTGAGGAAATAAGCAATCTTGGTAGTTCTGAAATTGAAAAAGAAAAGGGATGAAATTGTATTTTATCTATTTCATATATTTGCTAACCTTGATTCTCATATAAGTTAAAAATATAGAACACAAAGGAATAAGTAAATGATGGTAAAATGACTGATACGAAACAAATAAAACCAGCAACCATACAATTCAAACATAGAAGAAGAAAAATAAGTTAGAAAACTGAAAAATCACGTGTGCTTAAGGATGTCCCACTAGAGGCAATATAATATATCTGAACACAATTGATACAATTTAAAATATTTAAATCCTATTTGTTCATCTACAAGTGTTATAAAAATTAAAAATATCCCAAAAAAGTTCAATCATTTAAAAAATCAAAACATAGTATAACCCTAATCCTATATTAAGACTATCCCAGCACATAGTAATACTTCCTGAAGGTTTCAGAAAAAAGGAATAACAATGACAATCAGGATCAGACAAGATAATCAATTGTGTGTGTGTGTGTGTCTCTCTCTCTCTCTCTCTCTCTCTCTGTGTGTGTGTGTGGTTCTTACATGATAGAGTCATCTCAAACTGTTCAACCACTAATAAAATCTCATAGCTTAAGTTTATGGATAAGTCTGTTGTCCTATTATTTTGAAGACAGTTTCAAAGACTTCATTCGGGCTCATGAATGAAATGTATAATCAATGAAATATAAAAATGATGCTGCCTATCATTAGTACAAATTACCATATCAAAGAAAATTAAAGGATTACTTTTGTTTTATCATTTTATTTCTTTCTGTGAATTCTTCCTTGTTCATAAAGACCTCATTATCATCTCATTTACTTGCTAGAGCAAAAAGTAACCTTGTTGTTACTCTGGTATCCCAGTAGATGGGATCACTGGTCCTCTCAAAAAGAGCCAAGAAACTATTTCTAGAAGTTCACTACTGATGTTATCCTCACATCACAATTTAAGAAAACAAGATACACCCTCTCTTTTTGTACAGGCACCAGGGAGAAAGGTGAATCAGAGAACATTCTATTAAATCTATTTCGAATACAATTCTTGGGAACTGTTGTTTATTTATCCCGTTCGTGTTATTAGCTATATCTATCAGAGCTACAATAAAACATTATATTGTGAACTGAACTTCTAGCCAGACATTTTTCTATTCTATCTCTGCTCTTTCTCCCACCCAAATAATAGTCACCATTTGAGCTCGCTCATATTTTATTGGCCTATTTCAGTCACCCAAGAGATTTCTTTAAATATTTTGTTGCTACAACGCACTTCTGTTAATACTCCATGTACCTGAAGATTGCAGCATAGAAGCATTAACAGCTCTAATAAATACTATAGGACTTAATCATGTCTGAGACAAATAAACAACACTAGAAGCTTTTGTAACTGCGCAAATCTGAGACCTACAAAAGATTCTCTTTTACAGAAGGATGGGAAAGTGCTATGCAATGTCAAACCATCAAATCTAATTAACTGGTTTATTGATACTGGTCAAGTGTTTGAAAACTAGTGTGCCTGTCAAGCTGTTGTTGGGGAGAATCAAATTACAGACAGCTAGTCTTTCATTTGTAAAACAAGACATTCAGTTAGTCAGTCTATCCTTGCTATTTTTGTTGTCCATATGGATCACAAAAAGGGTAGCTTTGTAAATAAGACAGTGTACTGTCACTCAGTAAAAAAAAAAAAACACTGTACAGACTTTGTATGTTGTATTGTCCTTTAGAGTCACTTCACATATTCAAAGTAGTGACAGTGACACTGGTAATATAATAACAAAAAAAAAAAAAACCCCACACACATTGGACATTGTGTAGTTTAAATTTCATGGTTGAATGATGAAAAAACTCTGCATTAAACAAATCAAATGACAAATTATTAATGAAACAAAGGGTGTTGACCCAACTTTTTGGAATGTAAAATTCTTAATGAATTGAATTTAAAACTGAATGAACTTCTGAAATGCGGCATAAAAGGAAAGGTACTACAGTACCTTCCCCCTCAAAACAAAGTTATATTAAGAGAAAAAAAAGTCTCTTAAGAAGATAATGAAAATTGGAAACCCAGAGATCAGTTGGTAAAATGTGGGCAAGTTAACCTAGAATAGCTGAAAGAGTAATCGCATCCATTGTTTGGAGTTCTTTATGGGACTAGCTTTTATGGGGAAAACTAGCTTCATTGGATGAGTCAAATGAAACAAACAAAATGTTAAAAAGTTACAATGTTTATGTAATTGCTTACCAAGCACATCTAAATAATATTAAAGTAACCAAAATATCTTTACAATTCCCAAGGCATATCCCAACTTTTGAGCACCCCTAATGTTTGGAAATGGAAAGTTGAAAAATTTGACAAGTCCTAGAATCATATGGGCATTTTGAACTTACAAAGGTATGCTTCCCTACTCCCTCTCCAAAAACATAATGCCAAAAGGCAACATTTTCATTTTCCCACTTGGAAGGCCGCAACTTTACACACCAACGGCACAGGTGCATGTATGTGTGACTCTCCATCATCCCCTGCAACACGCAGCAAACCAGTCTCAGAAACACACGACGGGAGGGGTGGGGGAGGGTGTTAGTTGTCCAGATCCTTTTCTGAACCCTTCCCTCCTCCGCACGTTCATCGAACAGAGGTTTCGCGTGTACAACCAACCCCGCCGTCCTAACCACCACACACCTACCCGTTCCACAACCACCTGAACAGTTTTAAGTTTTCTAACGCGCACACACGTAACCCGGCTGGCCACGCATCGGAAGATGGGGGGGGGGGATCCTTCATTTTTGAACTGCTAGAGCTCTTAGGTTATCCTCATATTATTTTACACCCGATGACTTTACGAACTCTGAACGGGGCGAGCTAAATCGCCACCTCCCCGCCGCGAACTCCTCGGCGCCCCCAGCCTCCCCCCCCCCCCCCCCCCCCCCCACGCCCGCCCGAGTCCTCGATAAACAGCATCCCCGAAATAAGGCACCTGCCTTTCCCGCTCCCTACATCCCTCACCTTCGAAGCTGAGCTGTGGGTGCGGCGGGACGGGGTCTCTCCTGGAAGTTCTGCCGCCGTGCCCGCAGACTTAAAGGTTCCTTCTTTTCTACCGCGCTTCCTTGGAAAACGCCATCGTTTTTGCTCTGGTTCGTCCGAGCTGAAGACAGCGAAGTCTCTCAAGTTGGCCCGAGTCGAAATGCCGGCGAAGCTCCGAAGACGAGACTGCTGAGCTGCTCCCGTCCCACGGAGTTCTTCTGCCCCCGCTCTGTGGGACAAGGCGCGGAGGACTTGGAGGGCGGGGAGGGCGGCTGGGAGAATCGCCTCAGAAGCGCCAAGCGGCGCCTCCTGCTGTTGCTTCTGTGCCTCGGAAGCGCTTCTTCTCGGGGATTCGCTTGTAAGGCTGCTCTTCAAGCCACCCAGCCGGGCCGGCCAGTAAAGCGCAAAAGTGGTTTTGGCAGCAAGTGCTCTCGGCAAACTTGGAGCGGCGAAACTCCGGCCCAGAGATGGTTTGTGAGGAGTGAGTGGGCTCCTGCAGATTCCTCGACCGAGCTAGCAAACAGGTGCCCGCCCGCCCAAGAGCGTGAAGCAAAGGGACGTTTCATTCTCCTCCCAGTCCAAGCAGAGACGCGCCAGCCGAGCGGCATTACTCCGTTCTGCAAGAAATCCTTTGGATCGCAAGAAATCCTTCGTGTCGCACCTCAATGGAAAAAGAAAGAAAGAAAGAAAGAAAGAAAGAAAGAAAGAAAGAAAGAAAGAAAGAAAGAAAGAAAGAAAGAAAGAAGGGGAGGGGGAGGGAGGGAGGGAGGAAGAAAGGAAACCCCTAGTTCAAAACTGTATAAAAATTAGCAATTCAAGCATCTTTCTTTCTACTTTTACATACTGGTTGGTTGCAATTATTAATGGATACCCCAAAACAAATAAATGTTATTTATTACATTTTACAATAAAGGGTATAATTCTTCTTTCAGAGACACACGGTCAAGAATTATGGCGTTTGTTCCAGAGCAGCTATGGAAGGCACTACTGGGTTCTGCTTAGATGACAATCAATTTGGTGTAATGGTTAAAGGGCAGGTCTAAACATCTGGAGACTGTGAGGCAACCACCAAGAATGCTCCAAATGATCAGGTCTAAGGATGTATTGTAAGCTACCTTGGTTTTAGATCCATGTCCCTTCTGGCTGACTACCTGGGAGATGACATGATAAGTTTTGGATACAGCCCAGATAACCAAGTTAAAATGCGCTTAATCAATTTGATGGGACTCAATATGGATTCTAAACTGTGTTCAGCTCTATTGTATGATGGATTCATTCTATGTTGCTCCTGTGTTGTCAACTCTTCACAATAGAAAAGATCAGGAAACAGACTCCAAAGGAAGACTGCAACTATGTTATAATATCGGAGTCTTGCAAGTCTGCTTGTGTTTTAACTTTCTTTTTACACTCCAGTGGATCAAGTAGCAGCTACCTTGAGTCTCTTCTGACTCTTGTTTCCCAGGACCTAAGGAATGCTTCAGTCTTCTTAAATTATTTAGTGTTATCATCTATTTCCCTAAAATGTTTCCTGATGCTGTAAGGCTCTTATCTTCATCTCCCTAAGCATCTTCATAAACTGAGGGGAGATCTGGGATCTACTGGAGGAATGAGACCAAATGAGACCAAATGAGTATGTGATCCAACCCTCCAGAATAACAACAGGGTCCCTCTGGAACCCTGTTGACAATGGATATCTTGTTAAGAGATGTGAAAGCGCCTGATTGGAGTCAGATGATCCTGGAGAAGGTCTGTTAGGTGCTATCATGTAGTCACTGGATGTCAAAATTTTCAGTGCATAGCAGAAGTCCCCAACTCATAACTTCACTGATAGGGGACACTGATAGTTGTGAGCAGTGAGGATTGTCCCATATTTGCCATATCAAATAAAGAGTGTGTACCTTGGTTTTCCATAAACTTGAATGGGTTTGGGTATTTCTATACTCAAAAATTTGTATCCCTTTCATTCTGTATGGAGACTGTGATCTATATTAAAAATAAAACATTATATGTATCACAAACATCTGTCTAAATGTACATCTAAAAGGCAATATGTTTGCAAAAAAAGAAAGCTTGTTGCTTTGCAAAAATATTTTAGTAGCCCAGTCATAAATACAGAGAAATACAACCATGAATATATACAATTACTAATAAACTTTCAAGTTGTGAAATTTTGCCAATACAAATAAATATGCATATGTGGTGTACCGGAAACTAATTTCCTCCCACCCTCTCCCAACACACACACCCCAGAAGACCCTCTGGGCTGGAGTTGCAGGCAGGAACAGCACAATTCAGCACACAAACAGTAGTATTGCAGCAAAATCCAACTGGTCCAGCAAACCCTGGGCTGTAGTGGGAGAAATGGGAATGGGCCAGTTTCCAGTGCACTTACGTGGCATGCCACATGCCAACCACCTCCTGCTACCACTCAAAGCCCTCTGGATGACCATCCATGCAAAGTAAGAACTGCATTGTACCTTGCATATTTTTTATGCTTGTTGGACTTGCAAACAACATGGACTTAGGAATGGTCTCTTAGAATGCAACCCATTTGTAAATAGTAAACTGTCTGTACATTGAAACTGATACAATATGTATTCAAGGGGAATTCACTGAGATTTCTTCTTGAATAGGTATATTTAAGTTCTACTGTTCTGAGCACATGTAGAAATGTATTGGAAAACAGAGCCATCTGCTGTTTATGATAGCCTTCTGCCAGTTGCAGCCTTATTTTCTTGCCCATTGTAGTAACAAAGAATGGAACAAATTGATTATTTTATAAAATTAAGTATTTTAATTACTAAATCTAATTAGAATATTTGCTAGGTAGTCCTTAATCTATGACCATTCGATCAGGAACTGTTCTAAGTGCTGAACACATTCTTGCAGTCTCACACACCTACCCCAACCCATCTCACACCCTTGCAATCCTCCCCATGCCATGCCATGTCATGCCATGCTGCTTGTGCAGCCTCCCTGAACCTCTTCATCCTTCTGCATCCTCGGGCATGCTCCCCAGCCCTTCTCCACATCTTTGCACTCACATCCTTCCTCACTCAGCAGCAGCCACCTATCGGCAAGCCTGTAACTTGTAATTTCCAGCTAGCTTATCCTACTGACATTGGTTGTGTCAAGCCAGCAGAAAGTTGCCAGTCCTAATGACCTTAGGATTCAGGTGAGGAAGCAACCAGGACCAATGGGAAAGTTGTCGCTAAGTGATGTAGTCATGCTTTATAATCACCTCACTTGTTCTAGGATGACCTGCAATTTCTAGAATACAGGAGACAGAGAGAAAGAGAGAATGAAAATATTAAATGTTATGGGGGCTCAGGGAATATTGTTATTTGTGTCTGTAGGCAGATACAACAGGGCAATGGTTATGACTGAAAAGATTCAGACTCTAATCCATTCTTAAGCAATGGGAATTTACTTGTTTGACAAATGGTTGTTTTTCTGGAGATAAAATGAAGGGTAAAATGCCCTTGTAAAATGCCTTAATCATGTAAAATGCCTTAAATTCTTTTTTTTTTTAAACAAATTTAATTAATTTTTAAAAGCATACAAAACATACAAGATAAACATAAAACCTTTTTTCTAAAAATTTCTAAAAATTATTTGAAAGTTTTACAACATTAACACATTTCCTTACAATCACATATTTTCCCTTTCTAACTTGCTTTATTTTCTTCTATCTTTCTCTCCATTGTCCTTTTCTAACCTTTCTCCAAGGTTTTATTAACTCATTCAAACATAAACACATAAGAACACAAAACATATAAACATTAAAAAAAAAAACATCTTTTCTGAAAGTTGCTTAATCCCGGGTCAAAACTCTTTGTACAGACACCAACTCAAATTCATATTCATTTTATATGCCATTCCATATCATTATTGCCATTTTCAATTTTTTATATAGCTTCTTCTCTCTCTTAGATTCTCTTAATTTTATTTTATTTTATTTATCTCATCTCAATTCAAATCATAATATTTATTATTCTTTGTCTGTTTATTTCCAGCTATCGATTTATCTTTCTTCTTTAAAAAAAAAAAAAGCTTCTCCTGTACACTAATTGGAGTATGACGCCTTTACCTCTTTCCCCTACATTTATAATACTTAATATAAAATACCTAACTTACATTGGGATTCTATTTGGTACATTCTAAAATTATACAATATTATCAATACCAATACTAATCTATTCATTAATATTCATATTCTTTTATATCATAAACACTTAGCACATTACTTTTCAATTAATTAACATACTTTTGTGGGAGCACCTACTTTCCATAATTATTCCCCCCCACATCACATATTTTAAATCATTATTTCATTAAGGTATTCCTGCTTCTCCTACTTCAAATCTCTCCTTTCAAAAAAAAATTTCCACTGAAATAACACAATCTAATTAATATTGACATTCATTTGTATTTTTCTCTCCAACTCCTTTATATCTTAACCATTTTATCCATTTCAATTAAATAACATGCCTTTTGGGAATACTTATATTTTCCACAATTATTCCCCCACCCCCCCACATCATATCTCAAATCCTTATTTCATAAAATGTTCCCCTTTTCTTAAGACAAGTTTCACTAAGTTATATTAAACATTTTATCACACTTTAAATTACACGTTATTTCCAACTTTCTAAAATTATTTCTAAATACAAATATAAAAAACAATCTTATGTACCTTTAGAATCCCTTTATCAATAAAGTTTACCCATTATCTCTAAAAAACTTTTGTTTCTTTACATCTTGCTCTCTACTATTAAGGCTTCTCGTCCCCTTTCTCCCTTGCTTATTCTTCTCTCTGTCCTCTTTACCCCTTTGCCTCTCCACCTCCCTTTTTCTCTGCTTTCCTCCTTTCTGTTGTCTTCTAACATAATATCTCTTTTTCATCTTGTTTTTCTCTTTTTTGATTGCTTTTATAGGTCTTAAAGTCTCTTTTTCCTTTTTCTCTTTCTCCTTTCCTTCCCCAGCCAAAGTCACTTGTTCATCAAAAATGGCTTCTTCTTTGTCCCAGTCGTCCTGTTGTCCATTCAATTTTACATAAGTGTAGACCGCCATTTCTAAATACTGAAAAAGAGTATCAAAAACATCCTTCCCTTCTTGCTTTTCTTTTTCATATTTTTGATATAAAAGTTTCTATCTGTCCACAAGTAATGCCATTATAAAGAGAAAAAGTTT